AAAAGAAAGCTCTATCTGTCCCCAAAAAAGGGTATAAAATTCATTTCAGTACAGCGCTGCATGACGGAATAAATGTCAGTTAAAGTACCGCAGCGCTGAATACTGAAAAATGGCCGCCACAGGAAGGGGGTGTAACACCGCGGATGTCAACTGGTTAAAGGAGAACTATGAGGTTAAGTCTTTTTCCCCATAGTTCTCTTTAGGGTAACGGGGGGGACACAAACTAGCGTCCTCCCGTCATCCTAGGCTCAGTATATAGGGAGCTGCAGCTCGCTGTATACTAAGACTCCCGCAGCCGGGACGGATCCCGACATGTCTGGATCCACCCAGCTGCGTGATTGACAGCTGGCTCCGCCTATCTAGAGGCAGAGCCAGCTGTACCCGCCCCCTCCCGTTCCACCAGTCAGCGCTGGAGGATCGGAGATGGGAAATCCCTGCAGGGAGCCATGAGTGACAGTCACGGCTCTCTGCAGGGACAGGATCAAGAAGTGAGCGAGCGACGTTATGTGTTCCCGATCTATTGAGCTGACGTGTGACAGTTTCATTGTCACGCGTCGGCTCGCACTATGAGGATCAGTGATTTTCACCCACCTCATAGTTCTCCTTTAAACTCATTTTTCTGAATGGCAACTTTGAAAAGACGCCCCGTCCCGGGTACTGTCAAGCTCCAATGGATGACAGGCCAAGAACAGAGACCCGTACATTCACAACCTACAGATACACGCACTGTGTCCGTGTTCAATTAAACTTTATTGTTCCAAGTGGGTAGAACTCTCCACCAGAGTCACGTTTATAGCGGTGTTAGATCCACTTGGATTAATATAACTTTACTGAGCGCTGATGAGTAGAGAGTACGGTGTGCAGCCCGTGTTTGCACTTGTATTCTAATTCTCTGGATGGTTACAGATTTTAGGATTACAAGAGAGTGTTTCGGTTGCCTACATTGACATGGATGGGTGGCCTATTCTCACATGAAAAATTGGGAGAGTTGTCCCTAGATGCAGCGCTGACACTAGGGTGGGGGTGCCTGGGTGTGGGTAGGAATGATGGGTGTGCTGCTTCTTAGGAATGCGGACCGGGGTGCCCGTCGTTTGCCAAGAGGATACAAAAAAAAAAGAGGGAGTACAGAAGCGCTACTACCATATATTGACTGAATAAAACCGGCCAACTTACCAATGGATGGATGGTGGTGAATAATCATCGGCGAGGGGTCGATGGGTGTAGGTCCATGACTGGTGAGAGTGGTGGGCACTCAAGGGGATGTGTGAGCAAATAGGGGGGTATGTGGGTTTAGTCACTGCCGTGGTGGCTGTGGGGGGCTTAGTGATAGCCTGGGTATGTGTGGCAGGAATCCTGGGTGGAGGGGGACCGCTGGTTATTGCAGGCACAGTGACAAAGTATTGGTGGGTGCTGGCAGAACTGTAAGGGGTGATGTGGGATGACAGGCTGTCTGTGCCGGCGGCTGGGAGAAGTCTATCTGTTAAAGCCTGGACGCCGAGTGGATCGGGGGTGGAGACTGTGACACTCGCTGACAGGCGGCGGGTGTTTCAAGGAAAAAAGGCGATGGTAGCGGGGGTGGTGACCTATCGATGGAGTTTGCGGCCAGGAGGGCCGGTCCAAGTAGTGAGACTCCAACGCTCGAGGGCACGAGCAGGGAGCCCGGTGGCAACGAGCGGTGTGTCTGCGGGATGGAGCGGGTTAGGACGGGAAACAACGGAGGTGTGCGGGGTCTGGTGTAGCAATTGCAGAGCGGCTACGCGTTTCGAAGAGCTTGTCTTCTTTCTCTCCGGCTGCCGCTTCCAGCACCTGTAATATAGTCTGTATCTCTAGAAAGCTCCAGGAATACAATTGAGCAGGGAGTGCGTTTACCCTTCTCACCAAGCGTGTGCCATTCACAGTGGGCACAGCCCACTGTATACAATGTGTCCCGAGTCCGGCGATACAATGTGTCCCGAGTCCGGCGATACAATGTGTGCCGAGTCCGGCGATACAATGTGTCCCGAGTCCGGCGATACGATGTGTCCCGAGTCCGGTGATACAATGTGTCCCGAGTCCGGCGATAACAATGTGTCCCGAGTCCGGTGATACAATGTGTCCCGAGTCCGGCGATAACAATGTGTCCCGAGCCCGGTGATACAATGTGTCCCGAGTCCGGCGATAACAATGTGTCCCGAGTCCGGTGATACAATGTGTCCCGAGTCCGGCGATAACAATGTGTCCCGAGTCCGGTGATACAATGTGTCCCGAGTCCGGCGATAACAATGTGTCCCGAGTCCGGCGATACAATGTGTCCCGAGTCCGGCGATAACAATGTGTCCCGAGTCCGGTGATACAATGTGTCCCGAGTCCGGCGATAACAATGTGTCCCGAGTCCGCCGATACGATGTGTCCGGCGATAACAATGTGTCCCGAGTCCGCCGATACGATGTGTCCGGCGATAACAATGTGTTCCGAGTCCGCCGATACAATGTGTGCCGAGTCCGGCGATACAATGTGTCCCGAGTCCGGCGATACAATGTGTGCCGAGTCCGGCGACACAATGTGTCCGGCGATACAATGTGTCCGGCGATAACAATGTGTCCCGAGTCCGGCGATACAATGTGTGCCGAGTCCGGCGATACGATGTGTCCCGAGTCCGGCGATACGATGTGTGCCGAGTCCGGCGATAACAATGTGTCCCGAGTCCGGCGATAACAATGTGTCCCGAGTCCGGCGATAACAATGTGTCCCGAGTCCGGCGATAACAATGTGTCCCGAGTCCGGCGATAACAATGTGTCCCGAGTCCGGCGATAACAATGTGTCCCGAGTCCGGCGATAACAATGTGTCCCGAGTCCGGCGATAACAATGTGTCCCGAGTCCGGCGATAACAATGTGTAATACAATGTGTCCCGAGTCCGGCGATACAATGTGTGCCGAGTCCGGCGATACAATGTGTCCCGAGTCCGGCGATACAATGTGTGCCGAGTCCGGCGATACAATGTGTCCCGAGTCCGGCGATACAATGTGTGCCGAGTCCGGCGATACAATGTGTCCCGAGTCCGGCGATACAATGTGTGCCGAGTCCGGCGATACAATGTGTCCCGAGTCCGGCGATACAATGTGTGCCGAGTCCGGCGATTACAATGCTGCATGGCATTTCTCCTTACGGTGACAGCAGTTGACCACGCCTGCATAATATGTGATGAAGCAGCCACTTGTGGTCTCCATCGAAAGCCTGTGTGACAACACAAGCATACAATTGGGAGGCCAGGACAGGTTGTTGTCACCCTATAACCGGAAGTACCTGAAAAAGGACCTTCGTGGCAGGATCACCAAGGAATATTGATGATCACATACGATGTGATTTATAATAGAACATGAACTATATACAGGGGTGTGGGAGACACCCGGAGCGGTAACCGAGTGTCACCCCGCCGGGACGTCACTGCGCATGCGCGGCAGTATTCTGATACCTGCCGGCGGCCATCTTGGTGATGGACGCCGGCAGAGAGAGGAGGGGACAGTCACCCGGCGGGATAAGGATCCCGA